AAACAGCGCAGCTGCCACTTAGTTTGCTCGGCTTAATTCCTTTCTAAACTCTTGTTTGTCCTTTCATTATAATGAACTCCTCAAAACCTCACGCACCGCCCATCGATCATCATTAAAACCCAATCGAGAGTCAACGTTGAGATATCAATTGTCAAATCCTCGAGATGAAGGAACGACACACATTTGCACCACCCCAGTGAAACGTGCTAAAAAGATATAAAGCACATGACTCCTTCGGACTAGAGTCCCTTTATAGAGAGAGTTGGGACAACGCGGCTCATGGATGCCACAAACGAGAATAAAGATTACACAAATTCATTGGCGGATCCAGCAAACTGGCAACACTGTTTTTCTCCATTTAAACCTATGGAAATGTATCGATTCTTGAAGGGGCCAAGTGCCCCGACAAGAATCGATTATTTAACATAGGTTTAAATGGAGGGAATCTGTTGTTGCAAAATTTCTGGATCCGCCCCTGCACAAATCGGATGTTTTTTGTAATCTTTGATCAACCCATTCCCGAATTCCTATCTCCGTTCCCCCTCTCATTCCATTTATTCCTCGCCGTATCCCCAATTCCCTGGTCCATTCCAGTTTATAATTTTTGTAATTGGTGAAAATTTAATATTTATTCCCGTTTGTGACACTGTGGAGGCCTAATATACGGGAACCAATCAGAAATGGATTCACATTGTCTTTACTCTCAGTATAAAGGGACTCGTAGTATATTTGGACGTATTTATGCGAAATGGAACTATGGGCAAATGGGAAGATAGGGTGTACTCGTTAGTTGAGGGTCATAATAATGAATGGGACTTTAAAAGCGCCAGTGACGTCAGCGGTGAGGACCGGGTATACGAGGAGGCGCGACAAGAGCGACGACGACTAGGTCGTTAGTCTTTAACTCATGAGCCCTGTGCACAACGCCATTGTTACATGCCCACGGCTCACGAGTTAGCGCTCAATTCCTTTTCATTTAATGTCAAATCCCGCTTTTCCATTTTCTTAAAAGGAACTGTATCCACTTTTACATTGTTCCTTATCCAGCTTCCACGAGCACACCCCATATTTCACTTGCACACAGTTCCATTTAGCTTAAATACGTCCATTTCTCCTTAACTCATTTGCAACTTCACTGAGAAAAATGATATGCTGTTTTAGCACCTAGGATGTCAGAAATATGCCTGGTGATCCTACGATGCTGCCTTGATTGCCCATGCAGTTGAATTAGCATTCTTAGGATGTAAATTTAACTGCGAGGGCAGTAAAGGCAGCATATTAGGATCACCAGACACATTTTTGACATTCTAGGTGCTAAAACAGCATATTACTTTTTCGGTGTTGTTCCTTAAACGTCCAATTGTCAGTGGTTAGTCTCCAACGCTTTGTCACCGACGGCTCCCCGCTGAGCGGCCGGGCCTCAGGTGAACTTGAGCCAATTTCGGTGTCACAGTTTGCCTCAAAGTCATCGGAAGCCGTGCATTTCAAAGTACGCACCATTTCAGGCGATCGCCCGATGATGCAACGCGCATCCCATCGGCCACGGGGGTGCCTCCATGGATTCCCTGTTGCCAAGTCTCGAGGAATTAATCATCTTCTCTGGCTCCAAAAGAGAAACATAGTCCTGGGGTGTGAGGAAAGATTGAAACTTACAAAAATGTGATCCACATAGATGAAATCTTAGAATCAAATTGATTTTAGCATTCTTGATATCTTAAAGAATTTATTTGTGACCCAAAGAAATCTGAAGTAGATACAATGAATTTTTTCCCCCTGATCTCCGGGGCAAAATACTCTGTTGGTTGCTCTGGTTATTAAGAGCGGACCTAAAAAGTTATATTCTCAAAAATTTTAGTAACTTTCACAGTCTCCATAGGGCCATTAATTATAAGACCAAAAGTAATCTCATGCTCTTGTTATATTTTATCAAGATGAAAAATCAATAATAAGAAGAATTTATACTTTGTTGTACTTGTTGTAAGGGATCAATCAATCAAAAACAAACTCACAACAAAAATTTCAAAAGAAAACAACCCTAAAATGTAATGCAAACCGTCACAGTGAGACAATTAATTTGTGATAGCTATTCTGTGATATTTTATGTTATATTTTGTTTGAATTTTTTATGAAACAAAATTTTAAAACAATGAGGCAATACCTGATTTTTTGCACGCGAAGACTTACGATTGCTCTGTTGACGTGATATTATTAATCTTTCTTACATTCAAAAATTAATTATTGGGGAAAAAATCACAGTATGAGAAATAAAAGGCTATTGGCAAAGCGGTCCCAAGTCATGCATTAAGAATGCTAATGACCCAGAAATCCACATTTCAGACGACTGTGATACCGTTTTGCGATTCAAACGCTGGATTTTTGATTGGTGACATTACTTACTAATTATGCCGTTCTGTGCCGCTGATTACCCGCGCTGGTTTTAATTCCGTTATTGACGAATATTATGTCAGAGGCCTTTGACATTTCTATGCCTTCGACAACAACTATAAACATAGCAAACTGAAACGTACCTTTACCAGACTTTGATTTGTTATGTTTCTTACTAGGTTAAAGTCAGGAGCTTCGATTTACAGAGGACTTAAGAGTGGTAAAAGATGAAAAATTGGGAAGTATTCCCTTGCAAACATTTCAACGTTACAAATTGAAATCTCCTGTCAATAGAAACACCCGTGTATTATACAGATTTCAGTGGCAAAAAGTAACTCGATTCAAACATAAATATTCTTAAGTTTTCCGTCAAGAATACTTTCTATTAAATAAAAGAGAAGCACGATTATATGAAGAGGTAAACATGTGCAGTTCAAGGAAAAAAATACCCATATCGAGCAAAAATAGAAACCTACTTCATTCAAGTGTATTTACTCTTGATTCAAGAGGAGATCTCAACAGCAAATTCAAGAGTATCTCTGCTTGAATCAAGCTACTTTTTTCCAATGTATACGATTTTATTCCACTAGCTCTTTCTACCACATGGAGATTAAGCGCTGAGTTACGGCAACGCGTGTGACTCATTAGTATTGGACACGATGTCCGATTGTTTTTGATTACGTTGTCCAAGTGTGTCATGATATTGAATTGCAGCTTCGTTTTATAACCTTTCTTTGGGTCGTCTTCAATTTTGAATCCGTGAGTTGTTTTCTCAAATCTCCCGCCGTCCATCTAAATCTGTTTTCGATAGACTTATATAGACTTGATTTTATAATTAGGCAAAATTTTAAGGAAAGCAGATTTTTTGTCAGGTGCACCAATGTCGTTTTATTCCTTTTAAACCCATTCATAAATCTTTAATCGGAGGTAGAGTACCTTTTTAAGGGGATTATTGGCACCTCGCTCTAATCTACTGTAGAAAAAGTGGGTCACTTTCTGACTAATGGGCGAATTTATGGGGCGTATTAATAGTCGATCCTTAAACACCGCCTTTCCTTAGAGAGCTTTAATCCTTACTTGGCGGCCAGCGGACTGATTATCGAAATTGATAGACAGAGCGATAAACAAAAAAGACATAGGAACTATAAAGTGATTCCACTGGTTGAAACTGGTGTTTCTTACAGACTACGGGGGAAAATTATGGACTAACTAAAGGGTCTCTTTGTCGGTTGCCGTAAGTTAGTCTATTACCTATCTCCTTTGTCCATTGCAACCATCCGCTTACCAATAGGACCCCTTCATATCTTCCTTGCCTCCTTTGTCTACAGCTTTGTCTATCCGTTTCAATAATCGGCCCTTAGGGGAGTTTTAAGGATTTCCTTGTTATCTCATCATAAAAAGGACAATTTTGACGGGTCAAAAATAAAATTCGACAGTATAATAGCTCTGAAAATGGACCTTTGCCGTGTATTGCAATGATTGGCCTCTATGAAAAATGAAACGAACAAAGGAAACAAATCAGTCTGCTAAAAAAAAAAAGATTTAGGATAGGTTCGGTTAATACCTGATTTAAAGTCAGTGGTTAATCATTGTAATCCCTTATTCCTTATTGTCCTAATTCAAAAGTTTTATTGTTGAATTTTACTTCAGTTATTCTTTTTCGAGTAAAATTTACTGGACGCTTCGCTGAGATGGTCATTGATTCAATGACCTTGTTTTTCACACGAAGATTTCAACGCAAGTAATTCGCCCTTCAAACATCATGCTAAACGAAAATGCGTGATACAACTATTTTAACTCCTAAGCCGCTCAAATTGCAGATCCATCGAGGTGAAGGCGCACTTGATTTCTCAGTCCCCTTTTCCATCATTCAGACGTTAGCGCGAGGGCGGTGCTGAATTCTAAGGCTTTGTCTCGACGGCGCAACTGTTGAAGGAAGGAACTGTCTCAAAAATGTTTCCCTTATAAGTGAAACTTTCAAGGTCAGAAGCCTGGAACCTCAACAGTTGTTTACCTTTGTGTTCTGAATTGATAAACGCTGGTTACATGTGAAGCGGGAGTTTATTAATGGTGTTTTATTTCTGAGCGGTTATTATTTAGAGAATATTTGTATACATTTCAGTATCAATTTTATATTTTCGTTTGTAGCATATCACTACAGCAGGAAAAATTAAATGTTTTCGAATATATATTCTTTTAATCCATATCTGTGTTACGTTATTGTTTTTTGTTTTAAACCTGGTCGAAATAACGGAGAATATTCACCTCCCGCTCATAATTATCAGTTCAGTTATCTCAGTTGACATCCTTTAACCCAAAAAAATTAATGTTGTTCAAATATTCCCGCTTAAAAGTTCCAGGAACACATGCGTGTGCGTCGAGACAGGGAACTTCGGTTGGTCCAACAAACTCGCAACGGTTGCACCTAATTCCCTCAACAGTTGCGCCGTCGAGACAAGGCCTAACTTTTCATCAATCTCAAGTTTCTCAAAAACTGAACTTAAACGCCTTGTCCTTAAGCCCCTCAAATCCAAATATCATCAAAACATAAAGTATTGTGATGGAACACAACTACGGTGTACTTCACCTGATCCATTCTTTATTTCTGTTCGCAGATGTCTTGAAGATCGTTGGTACATCCGAGCTTCCGAAAACCGAAGAACAACGAGTAAGTACCGGATCTGATTCCCATAAGTTAAAGTCCATAAGTAATATTAAATTGATCTGTAAGTCATAAAAACCCTTTTTTTCACTATTTGAACCTGTTGTGTCTCAAATATATTATTTGAATCATTTGTCTACCCGGTCAATGTGAATTTTTGTTCGAAAATGTATGAGATGGTTTCTTACGCACGAAAGGAAAATGGACCACATTTTGTAACCAGGAACCACTAATTCTGACTCATTTTAGAAACAGCATATACGCCATTGGTTTCCGTATGCAGAAAGGTGCTTATACAGAGGAGCCAGATATAGTGGTTCCTTATAGCAAAATGTAATCCGAATAATCCACGAAAAATGGATTGCATCTAGCAAAAAGGAACCAGCGCAATTACAATGCGCTTAAAATTTTGCTTCTTCATAAATATCTAAAAAGTCCCCCAGAATAGCAGATGGGTTTTGCTTTTTACCAATAAATTTTTAATTTTAAAGGAAAATAATTTTCCAAATGTCAATACTGCACATCAGATTAGTATTTTTTTTAAAAAAAAAAGTTGGACGATTTTGAAAACACTGTAATCTTGCTGGTACCTTCTTGCTAAATGCGATCCCAATTTGCTTTTCATTGCACGACAAAATTCTGCAGTGGAAATGATATTAAAAGAGATATAACGCAAGGGATGAATCTTATTCCCGTTCTTTTTTAAGCAGATAGGAATTTTTACGGAGCATTACGCTGCCGTGCTAAGGAAGAACGCCGTATGAACATTCGAGAGTTGCCAAATTTCCTTCAGTAAAATGTTCATTTTCTAGGAAAGTTATGAATATTTTTCCTTGAAATTTTCAGGAACCTAAGGCGAAATTGCTAACTAAATCATCTGAACAATTGGAAGGAAAATATTTAGAATTTTACCGGGAAATTCGTGTTTTATGAAAGGAAATTGGGCAACGCCTGACGGCTCATACGGCGTTCTTCCTCAGCACGGCGGTACGGATGTATATGATCCCTTCGATTGCCCCGTAAAAAAACGCAAGAGAAGTGACGGTCTGGCACCTTGGTAAGTTCAAGAGCGGTAGCATTTAGATGAGCCGCCGGCGTGTATCATCAAGAGAAGATGTAATTGCCCCAATCGTCGAATCGAGTCATTAACTTATTAATCGCGCCTTCCATACCCTCCTCGCCCTCTCAGCTTACACCGGGACGAGTTGGAACTTATTCCAGCGACCGATAATATTTCCCGCTCATGAATGATCATGATTTTCATACGACAATGAAAGCGACGAACAATAGATGGGTCGATCGCTTATGCATTTCCTGAACCAAGTAGGAATAGTCATCGGGCAGTGGCGTTGATTCAATCCTGCAGAAGAAATTTTATTTCACAGTAAATAACAATGGACCACTAGACAAGGTACGAATTTAAGGATTTTAATACATGTTTATTATCCAGAATTTCACGTAAAACACGATTCGCGCAACGAAAATTACTGAAATCAACTTCTAACGGAGATATTAACTTTTTAATTTCACATTGGTCACGAGGAATTTGAACTGCCCGCTCACAATAAACTCAAAGCTCTACGTGAGTCAAATCGTGCACTGCAACGGTTTCAGCAAGCTTCTCAATCGAGCAATGTTCATTTCCCACCATAAGTTGTTCAAACTATAAGCAACTTGCTATAGCTAAGCAAAAGCGTCAAGATTGAGGTTGCCAGATGTTTATATCGCAGAGATTGTCATGATAACGTTTAGCGCGCGATGTGAGTCACGTAGAGCATTGAGTTTTCATGAGCGGGTGGTTTGAATTCACGCATCAAGAATCATTAAATATCTTCGTAAGGAGTCGATTTCGGTAATTTTTGTTGTGCGCATCGTGTTCTAGTAAAATTTCGGTTAAGAAAAATGTATCAGAACGCTGAAATTCGTGCCATGTCTAAAGGTCCATTGGGATAATTTGAGTGACGACGAGGTATCCCCCTGAGGCCAAAAAAAAATTTTCCGCAACAGGGGGATACCATCCAAACAGGGTCCATCCACGCCAAATTAGACAAAAATTGACGCTTTCTGACCTTACTAATCCCTTTTCCCACAGAAAATAACGCTGAAACTTCGCTCTAACTTCTCACCGAGCTGAGTTGAAAAACGTGGAATTTAGTTGGGTTTTTCTCAGTCGCTTATTCAATTTTAATCCAGTTTTCAGGTCGCGTAAAATTTATGAAAAATTGAACCAATGATACGTGTGAAAAACATTAGTTCTAAGGGAAATTTCGAAAAAACAGAAAAAATTTGGTCTACAATCTCAGTTCACAGCTCTAAAACCAAACTTTACAAGAGCTTTAACACTCGCAATGAATGGCGATTTCAACGGCGATTGGGAGTCGCAGAGCGCCTCAAGGCGCTGGGATACATAGCAGCGTGATGTATGTTATACACATAAGACTGAATACAATTCTTTAATTTTGATCTTTTTCTCGGACTAAAAATATAACGACACTTGTTGTTGGCTGAACGAGTTTTTCGGGAGGTTTGGTAGACATTTGCACGTTTGATCCACTGTGCGATTGTCTAGAGCATGGGGGAACGAAGGGCACAGCCCAACAGTACGAGATGCAATTCATTCTCCCCAAGTCCAAGCGGTAATTTCTCGTAATTATTATCAATGTACTTGATACCCACACCTGAGTAAGTTTTCCTCGTCGCTTTGTCAATGACTTGTTTTTCCATCGTTCGAACGCTTCTGTCGATCGAACTTTTGATCTGAATCTTCAAGCGATGGACTTCACGAAACGTTTGCTAGTCACCCACGGGAAATTCTTTTAATTTTATTTTCTTTCATACAAACATAGGTGTCGCTCCTTAATTGCCCTGTGGCACTCTGTGACAATTGGACTACATTTTGCAATTAGGAACTGTAAATTCCGTTCCGCTTTAAAAACAACGTATGTGTCATTAATTTCCCTATGCACATAAGTGTTTTTTCAGATGAGCCAGAATTTATAGGTCCAAATTGCAAAATGCAGTCCAATTGATGCACAGTGGATCAAGTCAGTCAGACAAGTCGGACATGAAACAGACGTATTTCTAGAAAACGGAACTATGTGCATTATGACGTGAGCCCTGTTTAACACATATTCTTACGGGTCTCAGGGCTCATGTCTCAATGCGCATAGTTCCGTTTCATAGAAATATTTCCAAATGGTTTACTAAAACTGCCAATTTTGATGTTTAATCCGTCGCATTTTAAATTTTAGGAGTGCTTCTGGGAGAAATTGTCACGAGGAAACCAATAGAAAAACTTTTCAAACCTCAATGTTTTATATGAACGGAGTTATAAGCGTTTAAAGTTTTCAAATTTTGTCCGACCTCTCCCATTGACGCGATCCACTGAGTGACGCCAAATTTTGACGTTTCCCTTGCGATAGAGCCTGACTGCATTTCAATGTTGCTAAATTTTCCTTAGAAAGCTCCATTATCATCAGGAGAATCTTCGGCATTTCTTCCTGAAATTTTCCGCGATTTTTCCTCCAATCTCGTACAAAAGTTAGTACAATTTTGTAAAAAAAATTGGTAAAAGTTTGGACAAAAATTGCAACGGTACCTTTTTGTAAAAACTTGAATTGTTTGAGCCAATTTTGGGATCTTTGGACAGAGTTGCGTTCCTTCCTGCGAGAAACGACGATGTGTATAGAGTCCCAAAAGTTATCATAGGCAACATATAGCGTAAAATCTCTTCAACTCTCTGCTGCAATCCTTACATGGGTTAAATATATTCCCTTGGTTAGTTTGGCTATGGTCAAAAATTGTTCCATGCTATTTATGTTTTAAAAACCTGTGACCATTATCTCGCTACCATATCTCCCAAGATACATGCTAGAAATTTCAGAAGAATCTCGTTTTGGGTGACTTCGTTCGGTTAATTTGACTCATTAACGCGTGACCAACTTGCGGGACGGTTCGCGTATGTGGTCGGACGAAAGAGAGTGCGAAGTTTTTGGCCGCATCATCAAAAACATTCATCATCGTGTGTAATCAAGGTCGCTCAGATTACCGGAATGCTCCGTCGCTTTTGTAGGATCCTCGCTTCACTTAATCGGTGAATAAGACTTCACTACTTGCACAAATTGCGAAGCCTCCCGCGGTGTTGCCACATGCTTTTCAAGTTACCATTCGCCAATTTCAAGTCAATATTCGCCAAGAATACCATGACACTATTGAATACGTTTGTGCTCAGCTCACTAAGAAAAAAATCGGTCTCACTAACTTCGAGGAGATTCCAAGACAATTGTTATTTTCTGATGTGATCTATGAAAAATGATTTTCGGTGTTGTTAACAAAACGCACCTATAATCGCTAAGATATTTTTCTCCATGCTGAGCTGCTAAATTCAATCTCCCAAGCCTCCGTTGTGACATTTTTAGGCGTTTATTGTTTCAAAGGCTTGTAAAACATGCATGTATGGTTGACATGCTGGATTCGATAAATAAATTTTGACTCAATTCGAGGACAAAGGTCTTCCTTCCCTTGGGAGTTCATGATGTTTGTCAAAGAGAAGAAAATTTAAGTTAAGTCCAAATTCTCGAATTCCTCCCTCCTCTTCAGAAGTCGAACCCTCCGTCTCCGTGCTCTGGTCAGAAGTTTGGCTTGACTTTAATAATTTGGCACAAAATACCGAGAAAGGGGCCAAAAGTCCTTCTTATTCCCATTCTAGGTCATAATTAGAGAGTGCCATCAATTTCTAGTGACTTCTAGGTCTGGTTTTGAATATCCAGGGTTATATGAATTGTTGGAAACCATCACCGCCGTTACCAATATACTGTTAGGACAAACAAGAAACTTGGTTTTCTTAATTTGGACGAACCACCCCTTTTGATGGATCACACTACATTTTTGCTGGTAAAGAGAAAGGTCTAGCCTATTCTGCCTTGCTGAGGAAAAACGCCTTATGAGCCTCCAGGCGATGCCAAATTTCCCTTGATAAAACAAGAATTTCCTGATGAACTTATGAATATTTTCCTTCACATTTTTTAGATAATTTTCCCCGAAATTCCACCAAGAGGTCCTGAAAATTTCAAGAGAAAATATTCCTAACTTTCCTCAAAGATGGACATTTTATCGAGGAAAATCTGGCAACTCTTGAATGTTCATACGGCGTTCTTCCTTTAGCACGGCAGTATTCACGCCTTTCGTCGCCAGTGGCGTGGCGTGCTTTGCGATAAATCAATTGGTCTGCCATTTAAACCTATGGAAAAGGATCGATTAGCAGGGTGTTCGCAACGAACACCTTAATAATCGATTCTTTACCATAGCTTCGAATGGGGAAAAATCGATACATATCGAAGCACACTACACCACTGCTCGTCGCGTGTTCGCACGATAAGGCAACAATGCCGCGCATTGTGCAACGACGATGTATGAAATTGCGTGCCGTTGGGGCCCGGAATTTCGCCCAAAATAGGGCCCAAACTGCTATTTCATACTCTGCCGTGCTAAGGAAGAACGCAGTATGAACATTCGAGACTTGCCAAATTCCATTCGATAAAACGTTTATTTTTGAGGAAAATTATGAATATTTTTCCTCGAAATTTTCAGACGTTTTAGATAAAATCACAAACAAAATTATCTGAGAAATTGGTAGACGTACATTCAAAAATTTTCCTGAAAATTGGTGATTTGCCAGGGGAGATTTGGCAACGTCGGATGGCTCATACGGCGTCAAACACCACCGTATAAACCATCGGACGCAGTGGCGTGGCGTGCTTCGACTTATATCGATTTTTCCCCATTTGAAGCTATGGTAAAGAATCGATTATTAAGGTGTTCGTTGCGAACACCCTGTTAATCGATCCTTTTCCATAGGTTTAAATGGCATAACAATCGATATATCGCAAAGCACGTCACGTCATTGATCGGACGGTGCGCGGATTTTTCTGATAAAATATGGATTTTCAAGATTTTCAAGATTTTAATTTGTAATTCAATCCACAGTACCTGAAAAAAAGGGAAAATATTCTTTAAGTTCTTCAAGGAGGAAATTTTAAAAAGGAAATTTGGCAACGTCTAAATGTTTATATGGCCTTTTTCCCTATCGAGTCAGCATATTCGTCGCGTCTTTAACCTAGATCCAACCCGGGCGAATTTGCTTTGTCAGCTGTTGAGCGTGGGTGTAGGTACTTTCGACGGTTTGAATTTTGGGTTTCACTCAGTACTTAGCCTTAATGATAGCACATGGAAATGAGACCCATTGTCAGCATCATGTGCTTATGTATAAAAATGAGCGAGAGAGTCAAAAAAATGTATGGGCTACAAATGTATCACTGTTCAATGGACGTAAAGCCTTATGAGGATTCAGTGTTTACATCGATGGCGTGGCGTGCTTTGCGATACATCGATTGTTCTGCCATTCAAACCTATGGTAAAGAATCGATTATGAAGGTGTTCGTTGAGAACACCCTGATTATCGATCCTTTTCCATAGGTTTAAATGGCATAACAGTCGATGTATCGCATGCAAAGCACGCCACGCCATTGGTTTACATAATAACTCCCTGCTCTCTTCATTAAACACTCTTCGCGTCCCTGTTAGTATGGACCATTTCAGAGTCGGTAGAATTATTCTGACACAATTGTATTGTATTTATAACTATGTTGAAGTTTTGAAGATGATACTGCGAAAACATGTACCTTGGTTGCAATGTTTTAAATTTCCGTCTAAAAAAAAGAAAAAAAAGGAAAACAGAGTATTAAAGAAGGATATCACCGTTAACCATAGAGAAGTGACTTCTTTACTCTAGCCTAGACAAAAAAGCCGCATGTCTACTTTCCTAAATGCTTGATTGGTTTTGTTTTAACAAAATAACAAAAAAATGATTGGAAGTTGGGTGAAAACTGTATCATTTTTCTCGAGGCAGCAGTAAGTGTAGCTCTGTCGCAAGATTATGTGAACTTACTGATGTTCTGTCGAAAATCGCGTCAATTTTTTGCTGTTTTTACGCTCTCTCAACCCTCGGGTTATGCTTATCTGGCAAATTTTGATGGACCAAAATCATTTAATTCATTTGAAGTATTGGATTGCTGGAATTTCGAAGAAATTCAACTGCGGATTTCAAAAATTTGATCGCGACTGATTTCTGTCTGACTAAAACAGGATAGAATTTCTGTTTTTTTTTTTTTTTTTTTTTTTTTTTTTTTTTTTTTTTTTTTTTTAATAATAATTATTGAAGCAATGATTATTTATTCCCGCTTCATTGTTTCAGTGTTTCTTGGAGTGCGTTTACAAAAACTTGCAACTGATCGTCGACGACAAGTTTGCCGAGCCCGGGGCTAAGAGGCTGATGATGATGAAGTACGGATCGAACCCTGATCAACTCAAAATAGCCCAAACTGAAATCGAAACCTGCGCCAAAGAAGGTCAGTTTTTATTCATAGTCAACTCCAGTTTCTGCATCGTTCAAGATGCGCGGATGCCTGCGGTGAAAGTGAGCCCTCTACTTGATAAGACACATATTTGACGTAATCGCTGTTTGACATCAAACGACTACTATAGTCAAAATTATCAAACTAATTTCCTTTCATCCTTCTCAACTGATTTTGGGAGATGATCAGCAAATCATTGGGTTGGAGGATGGGCAGCAGATCAAAGGCTGCGAGCACTATAAGTACTTAGGGGTGCGGTTGACCCGGGATGGAAGAACTGATCAAGCGATTAAGGAAAGAAACACCCTGGCAAGGAAGGCTACAGCGAAGAGAATAAGAGGAGAATTTACAGCGTTGTAGTCAAAAGTATTCTTGCATATGGATGTGAAGTTTGACAGCTGAAGGAACGGACACAGGGGATGCTAGGAGCAACGGAGATGGATTTCTGGAGGAGGTCTGCAGGATATTCTAGGAGATATTGGGTCCGTGATGAAAGAGTGCGTCAGATCATGGGAGTCGAAAATGACATCATATTCACCTTGTCTGGTATGGTCATGTCAATAGAATGACGGACGAAAGGCTGCCAAAGAAGTTGCTTGATTGGGTTCCTCCTTGAAGGAGACGAAGGGGACGCCCAGTGAAAGGGTGGCGACAGGGGGTTTTAGAAAAAATGAGGATTTGTCAACTCCCTGAAGGGCTTTGGGAGGATAGAGGACTTTGGCGGCTGGGAGTCGCAGAGCGCTAGAGAGCGCTGTAAAAGCGGCTTTATACATACATACATTTCCTTTCAATCAAAAAGGTCCTTTTTTGAAGTCCGCCTAATGATCGCTTGGATCGGCATCAAAATGAAAATGGCACCATAGTGCCATTCGTGGAATGTGATAAACGCCAATAGGCAAGGAGGATTTCGATAACTCGATGTCGAGCGATCGAAATACTGGCTTCTTATTGGTGCTTCAATGTCAACAAGCACTTGTAACTCGCAGGAGCATCTACCGCTTTAACTCAGCTGATCAGTCGCGGTAAGCGATAAAAACCCAGATACGTGGTAAACAATCAGGCTATAACGGCAAATAGAACTTCAAGCATGGAAACTTTCCATTTATAAAGTGTTGCTATTTACCAAAGAAGTGAAGTTCATAATTACCGGTGAGGATCAAGACGATCTGTGTCATGTCGCGTGCGAGAGGGGAGCACGGCCACATCTGGAAAAAATTCTCGGTGGAAAATGATACGGGTGACCAGGATGCACCGAACCAGTTTCCCACACCCGACTACTACGTTACGTAAAAACTACGGAGCATCGTGCTGTGAAGTAGCTAAGAAAATAGGTGTTCCAAGTGCGTTGCCAGGTGTCCGAACATATGTAGATGCTACGTGCTACGCATTAGAGTATCAGGGAAAGTATAATCAGTTAGGATCCCTCTTTTGATTGGTTCAGACATCTTAAGGTTTACGGAGCTCTTAGGTTAAGAAAGTAGGAGCATCCATGGACATGGAAAAAAATGAATCGCTGATTTAACAATTGAGGGGCTTGGAGGACAAGGCGCATTGGTGCAGTTTTTGCCCTTGATGCAGTTGATGCTTGAAAATTGGAATTCGGGAGGGGATTTCTCACAGAATATGCACTTTGACTAGTTACACTTGAAATCATTATTATGTCAATTTTTTCAAAAACTACACTTATTCGCCTTGTCCTCCAAGCCTCTCAATTATATTGCTTAAAAATATGTCCGACATGTTTCAAAAGTACATTATTCAATAGCGGAACGCTAATTTAACCACGGGGGTAGATAAATTGGCATTATCTTAAGGTCGTTACATAATCAGGAATCTGGTAACCACTATCGTTCCTTTTTATCCGTGTAATAGATCCTCTGTGCTGCCGTGCTAAGGAAGAACGCCGTATGAACATTCGGGAGTTGCAAAATTTCCTCCGATAAATTGGTAAATTCTGAGGAAGTTTCTGAATATTCATCCTTGATTTTTTCAAAAACTGTAGAGCAAATTACAAACAAAATTATCTGAGAATTTGGAAGAAAGATATTCAAAAATTTTCTGGAAAATTTTCTACATGTAAAAGAAAATTTGGCAACGCCTGAAAGTTCGTACGGCGTTTTTCTTTAGCACATAGGAGCCCCAATTGGACGTATTTCTGTCAAACGGAACTAAGCGCCAAACTGAGTTCCTTTTGAGGAATTTAGAATCCCGGATGGCGCGTTCTGTCAAACAGAACTGAGCGCCATGGAAAAGCATTGCGAGTATAGGACGGAATGAGCCCGACGCCCGATTCTGTCGCCAATCCAAGCCCCCCTCTACCTTCCTCCCTCTTTGGCGCTTAGTTCCGTTTGACAGAAATACGTCCAATTTTCTGCTCTTGCGGGCAACACCGTTACAAATTCAAAAACAATGGGCCTCAGAATGAATTAGAGCAGACTCCATCGCCAAGCAATAAGCAGACAGGAAGGAAAGTGCGAATGAGTGCAAAATCTAGCAATTAAAATCGAACACGGGCTCGCTGCATGCGAATTCGCACGTTGAAACAGCCGAGTGCAATGTGCATTGTATAGGTGACGAGACGTCGTGGGGCATGTGGTGTGAGTGCGTGGCGCGCGTACGCATAAGAGCGCTGTTCGCAGCCAAATTCCCACCGCATTCGTGCAAAATATTGCATGCGCAAATTGCCTATTCTAACTTAGAAATTGAGAATATTATTATTCGGACTACATTTTGCAATTAGGAACTACAAATTTCTGGCTTAACTGTGAAAGCACTTATGTTTGTAGGCAGTGTTCGAAACTCACAGGCGCCAACGCGCGCCAAATGCGCCTAAAAAATAGGCCATGGCGCCTTAAAAATGAAGGCTCTGCGCCAACGTGGCCCCTTAAAATTGTCCCCTAAAAATCTGAATTTTCATATAAGGTGATAATTCGACATTTTCAGAACTACAAGTGATAGCTTTTTCTAATCTTCACGATTTCATCCTTTGTGCTTTTGTCATCCCCAAGTTACACCTACATACTAGTTCTGTTACGAAAACATCGTGCATCTAACTATTCACTAATTGCGCCGTAATATATGGGCAAAAAGTCAATTTGGCCCCTAAAAAATCTTCAATGGCGCCTAAAAATCGGGCTTGATGCGCCACTTGGCTCCTAAAACTCAAAGGTGAGTTTCGAACACTGTAGGGAAATTGATGTTACATACGTTGTTTCTGAACTGAGCCATATACTGTGGTTCCTAATTGCAAAATTTAGTCCGTTTTGACAAATTTTACCGCATCGAATTTGAGCCGAGAAAAGAGGTTTGCAGTTTTATCTCTCCATAAAAATCAACGTTAAGGATTCTCTGATCTTTTACACTATGATTCCAATTACAGCATTTTTCCACATTGAGATTTAAAATGGCAGAGATTACGTATTAGGAAAGTTGATAGCAAATTGCGAAGTGATCTCGAGAAGTTGCGATTTGATCGGAGAATATATATCGCAATTTTATCAACGTATCGCTATATTACAATATTACCGCGCGGATAAGAAATTGCGCGATCAATTGCGATTTCTTCGCATAAAATTTACAAGAAGAATTTATTTATCGACGGCAATTTATCGTAATACCATCGAACAAAAAATTGTGATAAATTGAGATAAAATTTCGATTCTATCGAACGCGATATTATAGAGATAAAATTACAACAAGATGATACTCGCTACTTAAATTTTGATAATCCTAGCGATTTCATCGCCGAAGAACGCAACTAGATTTTGAAGAATCGCAATTTTTTCGTTGAAAAAATGCTACCTTGGTAGTATAATTAGGTAAAAAGAAGTGGTAGAAGAAATACATTTTTTTTTTAAAAAAAAAAAAATCTTCCTTGCAAGTTTTTGTTAAAAATCAAAAAATTCTATCACACTTAGAAAATTCTTTATCACGGCTATAGTAAACTTCAGTCTTCATATAACCGAAATGCTATTTGGCATGATGAATCACCTCCTTCACACGTCACTTATAATAATTTCAACCGACTCTTCTCAGACTGAAGACAAATAGACTTCAGTTGAACCCAACAGCTGCTGACGCCATACCTCACTGAAAGTAGGACAGTTTGACAATGATTACTTTGCGTTTTGGCGGATTCACGTGGAGGGCTTGGAACGAGCCAAGAAACTGTATTGATTGCCAATGTATGGAAAATGCATGAAATCCGTCGACCGGGCCAGCACTGGAAACAAAACACATTGGATCTAGAGTCCGGTCTCTTAAAAACATCGACAAGAAAATATAATCTTGATTCAATCGGATTTTAGCTTCAATCAAGAACCAAGCCTCTTAATTTAAGTGGATTTCCTTTTGATTTAAGCTTGAATCTGATTGAATCAAGAGTCCTTTTTCTTGTCAATGTTCTCAAGAGTCTGGACTCTAGATCCAATGAGTTTTTTTTCCAGTATGAGTAAAAATTTAAAATGACTGATGTACGTGTCAAAACTTTAGTGACGTTGCCATCGGCTTCACTCTTGGCTTTTTAAATTTTTGAATTTTGTTATTTACGTCTATGTTTTGCATGTTTAGTAAAATGTTGAGGAATAATGCATGGGTGAAGCGCGAATGATCGATTATCGATAATTGAATGAATCGATAATTGATCGCATGAATACGGTAATGAAGACCGTTGGCGAGAAAAATTAATAACCCTGTAAATCCATTGCTGCCATAAAATTAAATATGGTAAATGGGCATAATACTGAACAGCGCAGCTAAGAAAATCTGGGGAATAATTTTTCCGCATTCGAGGATCAATTTGCCAACAAGTTTTAGAATTAGATGACCTGTTTCAAAAATACCGATCGATGATGAAATCGAGGAATCGCTCGAATCTGCGCGAGATCAGAAGAGCCACAAGATTACCTCAGCCGACAAGCGAAACTGTAAATCAAAACAAATGAGATATCTCGAATATCTTTGTTTTGAAACGTCTCATGGGTACAAATTTTCAC